GTACTCAATCCTATATTTGCGGTAAAAAACCACAACGGATCTCACAGACTCATACTCAACAGCAAAGCGGTTAATAAGGAATGTGTGCCTTACAAACACTTTAAAATGGAGAGTCTAAACTCAGTGCTCCAGGGAATACAAAAAGGAGACTTTATGTCGTCAATTGACCTAACAAAAGGATATCACAATGTGGCACTGCACCCTGACCATCAAAAATACTTTGCATTTAAGTGGAAGGAAGAAATATATACATTCACGGCATTGCCCATGGGACTCAGAGAAGCACCCCGCCTATTTACAATCATTATGAAGGCATTGCTAAAAATTGTCCGACAGCAAGGGATTCGGGTACATGCGTATATAGACGATACTATTATAATCTCGTCAAACTTCCAAGAATGCCAATACCAAACACAAGTTTGTCAGCAACTTCTCCTAGACGCAGGATTTTTAATAAATCAAGAAAAATCCCGCCTGGTACCAAATACTAGAAGAAAACATCTTGGATTTATTATTGACAGCAATTTACAAATCCTGGAATTACCGGAGAAAAAATACAACAGATTGATGGCAGATCTCAAGATCCTACGGAACAAATGTATACGCCAACAATATATCATACTCCGAAAATATGCGCAAATCCTTGGATTTCTCCTTAGCTGCATACCAGCAATACCATATGGAGACGCACACTTCCGCCCCTTTGAAAAAGTCAAGATGACACTACAACAACCAATCACGGACTGGGATCAAAAGATCACCCTACCGCCGACACTTATCAAAGAAATAGAGTGGTGGGAAAAATTACAACAACCATGCCGAAAATCCTTTGTGACACAGAAGATTTCCCATAAAATAACAACAGATGCTTCCACCCAAGGGGGATGGGGAGCGATACTAGGGAAAAATAAAATATCTGGTACATGGAGGATCAATGACAAAGATACAATCAACTTGCTCAAACTAAGAGTACTAAGGCTTGCACTTGAAATTTTCCAGGAAAAGGGAATCAACTTCAAAAAAGCACATATACTATTTCAAGTGGACAATACAACAGCAGTGGCCTATGTTAACAAATGCGGAGGAATGATAAACAGGCTAGACAACGAAGCAAGAAAATTATGGCATTGTCTAGAAACACATCAAGCTACGGCAAAAGCAATTTACATACCATCAGCAGAAAATCCGGCAGATGAACTAACCCGCATCCTCTCAAGATATGAAGCTACTAACTTAGACGCAGAATGGCAATTAAAACCGAACATATTTAAGGACATATGTCAGCATTTCAACATATCTCCTACTATGGACTGGTTTGCAACCACCATTAATGCCCAATTACCGCGTTTTTGTACATGGTATTTTCACCATGAGGCATGCCACACGGATGCGCTAATTCAAGATTGGAATGATGAAATTGGATTTTTCTTCCCACCTTTTGCGCTATTAACCAGGGTAATCCAAAAGATCAGACAAGACAAGGCATCAGGAATTTTAATACATCCAAACTGGCCATCCCAGCCTTGGTGGCCACAACTCCTCAAGGACAGGACATCTTACCTGGACCTTCCAAGTCTGTCAACCGCCCTGACTTTACCTCAAAATCCCACAGCATGTCATCATCTGCAAAAAGCGATGCTTCAAGCATAGTTTTTTCTGCACAACAATTAGATCAAGTTGTGCAGCGAACAATTAACGCCGCAAGAGCAGAGACGACCAAAAAACAATACCATGGAATTGTAGAGAAATTTCAAAAATTTGCAGGTCAAAATGGACAAAATGTAAATACGATAACATCCGAAATGGTCCTGCGATTTTTGGCGGTATATACCGCAATCCCGCAAAAATACTCCTTTGGATACATACGCCAGATTCGGGCAGCAATTACCCAGTGGCTAGCCGACAATAATCGTGCAAATATCATAAACCAAGAAAAACTGGAAAAATTTATGAAAGGGGCCAAGTGGAACACAAAAAATTTTGAACCAAAAACATCAGTCTGGGATGCTGAAATTGCGCTGAGAAACATACAACAGCGCCCAATACCGTTGTCAATACTAGAGCAAGCAAAAGAAACTTTGCTCATCCTTGCACTAGCAACAGGGTTGCGAGTTGACGACTTGTCAAAATTGGGAAAGAATTTCTGGCAAGAAGGAAATGATTTATTCATCCCATTTCTGGAAAATCAAAAAACATCATTGGCGACACAGCAGACCAGGACAGGAATCTGTTTGGCACCCTATACAGTTGACCCTCGTATATGTCCAATAAATCTTGTAAAAAGTTACGTGAATATTACTAATTTCGAAGGGAGATCGCCGTTCCTTTTTGTCCGGGCAGATAACGGACAACGAGTGCAAAAAACCACTCTTTGTCAATGGCTCATAAAAATCCTGGCAGAAATCGGAATTACCGATACACCAGGTTCAACGAGATCTGCAGCTGCCAGTTTTGCCTGGGCCAAAAATCGGTCTTTTGACTCCATCGCTAAATTGACGGGATGGAAAACGGAAACGACGTTTCAAAGACACTACAACCGACAGCTGATGAAGAGGGGCGTTTTAGAGTACCTAGGGGGATGAGGTTCGTGCAGCTGCAACCCCGGTACATCCAGGCATACGCCCCTGGCAGGGCCAAAAATAGACCTGACGGCGCAATTTTCTCAAAGTTCGTCTTTAGTTTTACAACCGGACGGGAGCAATAAAAAAGTCAAGAACAGGAAGAGAAAAACTGTGCTCGTCCCCGGGGATGCAATTGTGACGCGAACGCAAGCTCGTGTGAAAAGTTGCAAAATTGCCGGAAAACAGTGACGAGTGTTTTATGACGCTGCAGCTGTGTCTTTGTGAAGTGTAAATAAAATCGTTTTCCGCCGAAACTTCGGGAAAAACAGCTTCTTTCTTCAACAGAACATTAAATACGTGCTCACACGTTAAAAGTCAAAAAATGTTCAGAAAGTTTATAATACACGACATGTTGATAATCTCGGACTTTGAATCCAATTCTAAAGATTCGCAGTGAAGAGAATTTAGTTAGGGTGTAGTAACGAACCCCCAGGCAAGGGCACCGTTAGCCTGTGTAGATATGGGTCAGTATTCGCAGTGAAGAGAATTAAGTTAGGTAAGTAGTAACCTTCCCCAGGCTAACGGTGCCCTTGCCTGGGGGTTCGATATTGATGCTGACCACTAGAGTTACTATATTATAGATGACATAAAATCAAATTCTGACGCATGTTCTTTTCTTCATCGTTTAAAAAATGCTCACCGCGGTGAAATATCCGTTGGGGATTGGAAAACGAGACTATGTTTTACTATTTTAACTTATTGAGACCTAGAAATTGGAGACGCGTACGTTTTAGATACGATGTCTTTGTTTTTTTCTGTGAGAAAATACTTTGCATTCGGAAGACGATTCGATTTCTACATCGAAGTTCAAACGTCCTCAACGTGCAGTGGATCAATTCCGTTTGTTTATAGCTTGAAAAACTATATGAATAATACAGTACAGTACTTATACTCATCTCACAGCATGAGCCCTTTCGCAAATCGCTTTTGAAACTAGGAAAGCTGGAAATACGACCAAATTATTAAAAAGATATGAAGAAATACGGTGCACAATCTTCTTTGACTGATTGAAATGAAACCTCCACGTACATGTAGCGAGTACAACGAAACCCACGGAAAAGCCTAATTAAATGTGGCGGGTTTTATTTTTCAGACATGTGGAATGCATAACGAGGATCAAAGCAGGTCTTGATGAATTTTCAGTCTCTTCACAATTAATATACTGTATTCTCGTCTGTGGAAGAGATGGAAAACATCTTGTACTTTCCGCTCTTCAAATTTATGCACTCAGCAGTTGAAAGATGACAAATATTGTGTCGCCGCCATGGTGCTGCGTTCTTCAAAGCGAATTTTACGCAGATGTATCCC